GACTCGATGATCTTTATGCCTGGGTCCCAGGGTGGGAGGCTGTGCAAGTGACGCCTCCTTCATAATCTGGTCAGTTGGAGGTAATTTTGTCTTTTTTTCCATATTTTTCTTTTTTCTAAGAACTCTCCTGTCTTCTCTTGCAGCCATTCACCTTACCACTAAACTCTTTTGCTGTGCACTGGCCTAAACAAATATATCAATTGATGTGACTGAATGATAAATATAATGATTACTTCAACAAATAATTGAGTACCTACAATGTACTAGATAAGCAGTTTACAAACTTTTTGGCCTTAGATCCCTCTACATGCTTATCCAGGACCAGTATTCAGCCATAAAAAAGAAAGAAATCCTGCCATTTGTGACAGTATGGATAGACCTAGAGGGTACTATGCTAAGTGAAATAAGTCAGGTGGAGAAAGGCAAGTACCATATAATTTCACTTATTTGTGGAATATAAAAACAAAACAAGACAAATGAACAAAATAGCAGTAGGTTCGTAGACACTGAGAAGTGACTGGTGGTTACCATGGGGGAGGGGTTGGGGTGGGTGAGTGGAAGAGGGTCAAGGGATAAAAGGGCACAAAAATTCTCAATCATAATATAAGCTGGCCATAGGCATGGTAGCAAAGCATGGAGAATATAGCCAATGATTCTGTAACATCTTCCTGTGTTGACAGTAATTACACTAATCAGGGTAAGAATTTAATAATATGGGTAACTGTTGAACCACTGTGTTGTATACTTGAAACCAATGTAAAATTGTATATCAACTATGCTTCAATAAAAAAAGAAAAAATTATGAAGGACCTCCAAAACTTCTGTTTATATAGGTTATATCTATAGATATTTACTGTATTACAAAGTAAAATGGAGAAAAATGTTAAGCTATTACTTGATTTTAAAATAGCAACAATATACTCAGTACATATTATCGACATTTTCAAAAAATGAAAAACAAATAAATTAGTGACATAAATTGCATTGTCTTACAATTTTGCAAATCTTTTTACTGTCAGGCTTAATATAAAATAGCTCGATTCTTACACCTGGCTCTGCATTTAATTTGTTGCTTTGGGGTTTATACTTGTTTTCTGGGCTGCTGTGACAAATTACCAGAAAGTCGGTGGCTCAAAACAACAGAAATGTATTTCCTTACAGTTCTGGAGGCCAGAAGTTCAACATCAGTTTCATGGGAGTGAAATCAAGGTGCGGGCAGGGAAGCGCTCCCTGTGGAGGCTCTTGAGGAAAATGTGTCCCTTACCTCTTCAGCTTCGGAGGGTTTCAATTGTTCCCATCTGCTTCTATCTCACATTTTCTTTTCTTTTGTGTACGCTAGATAGTAGCCGTCTGCCTCTCTCTTATAAGGACATTTTGATAGCATTTAGGACCCATTGGGATAAATCCAGGATAATCTCTGTATCACACGATCCTTAACAATCACATCTGCACAAGTTTTACTATCTAAGGTAACATTCACAAGTTCAAAAGATTAGAACATGGACATGTTCTTGGGAGACATTAACAGCCTACCACAGGGTTGTTATTTTGCTAGAAGTTTTTGAAGAAAACCTGGTCTCACACAGATAGGCAGTTTGGGAGAAAGAGTATTTTAACAGTTTTTTCAAAAAATTGTGGACATTCCTCTTTGAAACAACACAAAACTCAACATGAAGTAGTTGCTTAAAGGTCTGTTGCAATGTGGAATTTGAAAATATCAGTGTATTCTTCCTGTGTGGTTACATTAAAATCATACATCTATACTTTTAATGGTTCTTTAGTTTGTGCATAATTTTATATATAACATCATGCACTGAGATCTTCCAAATGTTGACACATTTAGACAATATCAAAATTAATATCACCACCAATCTTATCAAACAGTTCTTGCATACGGGAAATTATCAAATTCCTAGTGGTAGATACATATTTTTCAAAATTCTAATTTTCACTTGAAAGCTCAAATTTTATCAGGGGCAACAGATACTACTGGTTATTTTCCTGAAGTGACAGAATCCCTATTCATTTTCAAGAAAACCACTGCTTCTTGATCATTATTTCAATTGAAAATTGTGTTCCGTGCAGAAAATCAGCTGGTTTATCTTTTTTTAGTGCTTTTCCTTGAGAAATCTTGGTCGTGTATCACAACTTTTATGTATACTTCCCATTTTGCCACACACCATCTATGTAAAAGAAATGTCCTCAGTGGTCGAGATTTAATAAAATTAAGATTTCTTACTGCTTCATTAAAGATATCCTTATGGGAAACTGGCTCTTTTTCCCCTCTTTTAATGTGAATGTGTGGTGGTGAGGAGTAGTTTGCAGCCTCTGCCTTGGTTTGTGCCAAGCCACCAGCAGTTTTGCCCAGTATTGTTTTTATACCATTTGTGCAAATATCACACAGTTGTTCCAGGATAAACTATGAGATTTAAAAAAAAATTGTTCAGTGCTTTATTTCTGCACCACTTGTGTTTATTGCCAAGTATTCATATAAAATATCTTCTGCAAGAATTAGTTAATGCCAACACTGGATAGTGCTAACATTAGATACAAGCAGAGCAATGAGTCTAGCTACATTTATCATTATAGAGTTCTTGTCCATCTTAAAAGCAGTGTAATTCTGTAAATGAGATTGTTAACTCAGTCTTTATGTTCGCAACTAAATTTCTAATTTGGTGAGTCACTGCTTTCTGTAGCAGTAAGTAGCACTACTTTTTAGAAGAGCCTAAAAAACTCAAGCATACATTTCATCAGTCAATAGAGTGATTTCTTTGATTTTTCGTCTAGCAGGCATTCTTCACTCAGTAACATAAAGACTTTATTAGTCTCTCAGCCATCACACACCCTTCTCAGACCAGCAATACAGTAATTTAACCTTTAAAATGCTTCAGTGGGTTTTTCATTTCTAGTTTGAAAAGTGGTAACAAAAAAGCTTTGGCTTTTAAAGAGCTTATCATGTTTAAAATATTCAATTCTCTTTTGTCTTGCCAATGGGTTTCAGCCTGGGGCAAGTTCACTATGGATTCAAGGTGACCAAAGAAATGACAGTAGAACATTCTTGGGGTGAAAGGGTTATAGCCAACTTTATTTCCATGGTGGCAGGTCAGTGACTGAAATGTTGTTCACTCAGAGCGAGTCTGCATGTAGCGAGCTGGTCTCTGCCTCTGGGCCTCTCGGCCTGCACAGCCGTCCTCTGGGCCTCTGCTTTTCTCTCCTGCAGCTTTGCAGCCGTGCCACCGTGGTGCCCAGAGCACTGGGCAGGGCTCTCTATATAGAGTCAATAATGATGCATTGCCCACACATGGGTAGTGAGCTAGCTAACTAGGGCCAGGTGAGAATCCTGGCCACAGGAACTTTCATTTTATCCACACCTTTCCTTTCAACTCGATGATTGGTCTCAAACTGGTGCCTCAACTTAACTGGTACCATAGTAATGCCTGAAAATGTTCTGTTAAGTCAAATAAGGTGAATTATTAATATCTCTAAAGCCAAAGAAAAGCAGCTTTTGTCATATTTTCTTAATTACAGTTTCACCAAGATTCTTCACTTTACCTGAGTCAGAGAATCCTCTGATACTGAGGTCAATTAATTTTTTTTTCAGCATCTTTAGATGTGGGAGAGTTAATAAAGCAACTCTTCTAATCTCCCTTTTGTAAGTCAATGAAAGTTCCTAAAATTTAAAAAAAGCTATAAACAAAATTTTATTTTAGAATAAAATATTAAATTCTTAAAGAATACCAGTTTTAGGCAATATTTAAATATTTAGAAAAGTTTTCAATAAATTAAAATATATTCTAGCAAAACAACTCAACAAAATGGACTTTCTTCCTGTGCTTCTGCAAAGCTGCAAGGACAATTTAGGGACTTCAAAACACCTTTTATTGGATGATTAATGAGGTTATAGAGATTAGGTGTAAATGAAGATAGCTTGTAAGAGCACACTAGAAGTACTGAGGAAAAACTGAGTTAATTTCTAAAAATGCACATATTTATAGCCTAAACCTTAGAAGATCCTAGAAAACTCAAGCACATATTTCATCAGTCAATAGAGCAATGTTGTCATCCATCCTTTGGAAAACATGTCTGTATATTCCTGAGAGGATGAGAGTGAAAACGGCAAATGGCATTTAAATATCATGAGTATAATTTGACTTCGTGGACCCCCTGGAAGGAGCCCTCAGAAATCACCGAGACCCCATTTTGCGAACCAGGGTACTAGATTCTGATCTAGGCAGAAGCTGGGGTAATAGTGAATGAGAGATCCTCGCTGGAAGGAGATGAATGTTTGTGCAGTGCAACTGCGCTCAGTTCTAACATGGAAAAGACTGGAGCGCTGTGAGGGTAGGGCAGGGAGGCCGAGCCTTTTCTGCCAGGCCGGCGAACTCCGCTCCAGGTCAGTGACCCTTCCACCTGCCGAGTAGGAGTGGGCTGGGGCCGCGGGGTGGCCGCCCGACCTCGGCCTCTTCAAATCCCAGGACAGGGGTGGATGGGAAGACACGGCGGACTCCAGTGCCCCTACCTGGCGGGCCCTGTACCCGGCAGGATGATCACCCCACACCACCAGGGTCTCCAGCACCGCCGGGGCCGCGCGTGGCGCCGGGGACCCACGTCTACTCCGCCCCTCAGGGTGCCGTGGAGGGAGGCGGGCGGATTGCTCGTGGTTCCGTAGACCATGAGCGGTGGCCAGAAGTGTGCACCTGCCGAGGCCGGCTTGGGCGGCTCAGAGGCGGCGAAAGGGAGAGCTTGGAGGAAGAAGGGGAAGAAGGTCGGGCCTGAGCTGCTCCCTCAGGAGGATCCAGAAACGCGCGGGATCCGGGAGTTGCCATCGAAACCGGGAGCGTCAGGTCCAATTTCTCCACACGCAGTCAACCTCTGCGCTCAAGCTGGACTAGCGGTTCCCCCAGCGGACTCTCGCGCCCTCTCGCGGCCTCTCTCGAGAACAACACTGTGCTTGTCCACGAGGGACGCGAATAAAGATTTCTTCTTCAAACAAACAGGAAGTGCCTACGGAGGCCGGGCCGGCTGCGGAGCAGGGCCCGGGCATGAGGTCCGGTGAAGACCGCAGGGCGGGCGGCGGCGGCGGCGGCGGCGACGGCGATGAGCGACATCGTGGAGAAGACGCTGACGGCGCTGCCGGGACTCTTCCTGCAGAACCATTCGGCTGGGGGACCCGCGGCCGCCAAAGCGGCCTTTTCCTCGCGGCTGGGGGGCCTCGTCCGCGGCATCACCTCGCTCACCTCCAAGCACGTAGGTGCCCGCTGGGCCGGGAGGTCGGGGCGCCCCGAGGAGGCCCGCGCGCTGGGAGGCCCGGGTCTGGAGACCAGCCTTCGGGGGTCGCCCCTCCGGCGAGGCTCGGGGCCTGCGCGCGTGTGGGTCCGGCCTTAGTCCGACTTCTCGCGTCACTTTCTGCCCCACGGACAACGGGAGGCCGGGTGTGCACAGTTGTATCTGGGGCGAATCTCTTTGATCTTTGAGCCTCCGTGTGTTTTCTGAATGCTGGAGTGGAAAATTACCAATGCATATTTCATAGGTTATTTTTATAATTGAGGTATCGAGCGTGTGAAAATATCAAGTGTTGTGGAAGTGTCAGCATTGTTCATCTTTTGCAAAGTTTCATTTCCTGCTCCTTCAGTTCTTTTCTCTTCCCAGTTTATTCAGCTGCAACATGACACACCCTGGAGCGGACCCTGCCATCTGAACCTGTTGTTGAGTATATTTAGGGAACTTGAGTTTCTTAGGTTAGACCAACGAGTTAGGTAGAGAAAAAGCATACTTCTCCCAAAATTTGCTGAGTAAGTCTGCCTCAGCTTTGAAAATGAGCACTAATGGAAGTGACCAAGTTCCTACAGACTTTTGGTTAGTTATCTTACACGGATTATGTGAGATACTGATTCAAAGCTTAGTTTATATCTTTAAAAAAGATCGTGTGTTAAGTTATAATTTGATCAAAGATATTTATGGGAGAGGTTATGTGGTAGACACTGAGAAACAGTAAAAACGCCTTTCCTTTTCTCAAGGAATTGATCATTCACTTGGGCTGAAGACAAGTATAAGCAATATGCAATGAAATATAAGTGCCAGGAGAGAAGAGAAGACAAAGAAAGAAGGAACGTGCTCAGAGGGTATAAAATGTTCTTTTTAAACTGAAATAAGGTGATGCTATACTGGATGCTATATTTCTGCTTCACATTCAGAAATCATTTGTGGACTTAATATTGTTTGTCTGAATGTTTTGTCCTTTGGTAATTTTTATGAGATGTTGGATGAAACAAAATAAGTATTTTTGGTCTTAAATTGCAGTTTGAAACTGTATATGGAGTATCTGAATGTGGCAGTACTTCACTAGTGTTTCTTGATTAGCCACTTAATGGACATCTGCTCATTCAATGTGTAATTTAAAGATAGCATTAGGTTAACCAAAAGTGAGGCCAATTTTCAAGAGCTTAGAGTGAAATACAATGCAAACAGTAAAAGTGCCCACATTGGTGTATTTATTGTGTGTGAGAGAAAGACAGGAAGTGAAGGAAGGGATGTGAGGAATAAGATGGGATAGAGAAGAAGAATATAGTTTAAGAAAAAAAAACAGATTTCTGTTTCTGCATTTTTACCCTATTTCTCTATCCCATGAAGACTTTTTACTTTGAAGGGAAAGGTGTGAGAATCTTATCCTGGACCAGTACATGAAGGATATCTTTTCTACTCTCTCCATTAATTTTCATAAAAATTCCATTTTCTGCTAACCTGTCCTTAAGGAGTTGGTAACTGAGCTAAGAAAAGGGAATAATGGGTTAGCCTGGAAATATTTATTCTCCCCAGGAATGATTCTGAGAGTTGGAGAAATGCCTTTAGGCAAATCTTAAGCACATCATTTTTATAACTCCCTTTTAAAATAATGTTTCTTTTTTGTTAAAGTACTATAGATAACATTTTTTCCCTTTAAAAAGCAGTTACAGTTGAAAAAGACAGTTACTCATGCATTTAATTATTTTCACCTTTTCAGGAGGAAGAGAAATTAATTCAGCAGGAGCTGAGTAATCTGAAAGCAACTGTTTCTGCTCCTACGACAACACTGGTACGTTTGCATAGGCAGTGCCAGCATATTTTGAATTTGAAATTGGGCCCACTATGGACTTGATGGTGGCATCTAATTGATCCGTTGCTAAAATCTGACTTACCGTAGTCCAAATCAGTTATGGGTGATAGCAAGTCAAATATGAACTTTATTTTATTACTGACTGGTTGCCCTAGAGCAAGACTTGCTTTACTGATGTCAATTCAGTGCCAAAGGATGATAATTTCATAAATGTGGCAGTACCCCTGGGACTCCAGTGCTGATCTTACTGTTGAATGTTATGTACTGGGAAAAGGTTAGGATGTATAATTTGATTTTTCAAACAGCATTCATTCAGCAACTATTTAATGAGCAGCCACTACATGTGGGATGCTGGAGGAATGTCACTACATAAAACTTAGTTTTTTTTTCTTTTAATTTTCATGTAGTTAACATACAATGAAGTTTTCCAAGCAACATTTACTTAACAAATATTTAGTAAGTGCCTTTTGTGTGTAAGTCATTGTGGGAATGTTTTCCTTCTAATAAAAATATTGGGGTGCTCATTTTGCAGGAATACATGATCATGTACATGAACAACACTTACAAAGTCTGAGAGAATGGATTTCTTTTGTGAACATAATAGTATGTGGACAAATGACACCCAAAACATAATCTGATGTATTTACATGTATATATGTTTGTGTGTATAGATATGTATACGTGTGTGTATGTGTAAAATCATCGAACTTGGTAGAAATGTTAAGCTGAAATGGTTTCTCTGTTTTTATTTTCTTTGACTTCCATTTTCTGTAAATGGCATCAGTAAATATAATTTGTCTTGCTACGAGGCATAAATCTGACGTGGGCAGAGCCAAGATAAATAGTAGAAGTTAGGAAGGCAGAGTTTGGAAGGAAGATTTTATATTGTGGCTGTCCAACTCTGGGCAGAGTGGTCTGTCCCATTAGGTGGTGGTGTAGAGGTTGGATGACAAAGAAATTATAAAATGAATTCCTACATTGGGGAATGTACTTTCATCTCCAAAAATAAGAGAATAACAAAGTTTACGATATAATTTTACTTAAATGAAGTTCAATGACTTTTGAAAAACTCTGAGGTAAACTGTTAGAAAACCAGGGTTGATACTTTCTGGCTTCAATGAACACTTTGACTCCTAATTGATGTAGAAACCTTTGAAGAAAGACTTCCAGTATCTTTTAAGCTTGTTTTCTCAGTTTTTAGTAGTCATAATTAATGTGCTAATGAATTTTCTTCTATCGCTTTAAACACAAGTGACCTGAATTAAATCTTATTCCCCTAGGATTTTCCTCTGACTTCTTTTTAAACTCTTCATATTTGCTTGTATATAATATACGCATGTGTATATTATACATATGATGTGTGTGTGTATATGTATATGAATGCAACATTAAATATTCTTTAAAATATTTTACTAAAATTAATATTGTTGGTCGTTAAGTTTGGGAGCAACTTTTATTTATAAAATCTGACTTCAGGTGATTAATTTATAATATATGCTATTCAGTGCCAGGATTAAAGAATTCCCCTGTTAAATAGTACAACATAATAGAAAAAAATCAAAACATTCTATTTATGTTATTTAGTTACTCTACATATATTTTGCTTTTCAGAAAATGATGAAGGAATGTATGGTGAGACTTATATATTGTGAAATGCTTGGATATGATGCTTCCTTTGGCTATATACATGCAATCAAGTTGGCACAACAAGGAAACCTTTTAGAAAAAAGAGTAGGTATGTATGTGTTTAAGACTTTAATACTTAATGCTGTCCTTAAAGTTCCAGCTACTATATAAAATGAAGTGCAGGTATTTAGTATGTTTTTAGAATATTGTCTTGGAATTTCTAAAGCTTTAAAAGATAACACTTCAGAAACTCAAAACCTATGAATGAAATGTGTTTTCCTGATTCATAGCATTTTGGAATTATGGAGAAGATTAAAAATTGCTTCTTCTTTTGATGGTGGTTAGATGACTATATATATATATATATATATTTGTCAAACTCATTGAGCTATATACACTTAAAAGTTCATAAGGTGGGTGAATTCTCTTGTATGTAAATCATACCTTAGTAAAACTGATTTTAAAAAGTATGTCTGACTTCATCAGTTTAATGATGAATTAAACAAATATTATTTTTATAGGATAAAAACTGAAATTGACCTGAGTCATTTTAAATCCTGTTTTCAGTTTCACAAATGTTAGCTATGAAGATTAGAGGTATCTTTAAAAAATTTTCATCTCTGTGATCAACCTTAAGGGCTATTAGCAAAAATCTTATCAGGGATTTTAAATTTTCTGTTCATAGGTTCAATTTTATATCAGAACCCCAAGAAGCAATCATTTTAGACTAACATAGCAGTGGAACATATTCTTTATTCAGAGGAGTTGATAGTATCATGTTACAAGGACCAACATTCTTCACAAGTCATATTAACCTGTACTGTCAGATGGAGTTGGGGTGGGAGATAGCTTGGTAAAGATTCCAAGTCTGTATGTGCACAATATTCTGCCTGTTGAACCTCACTCTGTCCAAAATACCCTCTGTTTTCTAGATTTGTATTCTTCCCTCCAGGTAGAATGTTCTCTGTCTTTCCCTTTCCATATTCCAAGTCAAGTTTAACTCTTCTGTGATTACTCAGGTGGCTCCTACCATCTGTTACCATATCTTTTCATATATTGATGTCTTAGCTCCCAAACTAATTCTAAGACTCCTAAAGGTAGGACATTTTGAAAACAATAGATAGTAAATATTAGATGGATGGTGGTACAGTTATTTTGTACAACTATTGATATATTCTGCTTCTTAGACTTCCATGTAATTTTTTAATTTAATTTAATTTTAAAAACATGTAAAGCATTAACATGGTTCAAAATTAGATCTTATAAAAAGATGTAATCAGAGAAGTCTTCACTTTCATCTGTAGCTCCTATGCAATTTGTACCTTACCCCTGTAGATAACTTTTAATTAGTTTCTGATTAATCTTTCTTTTGTTTTTTTTCTGGACAGCAAGCAAATGCATGGGTACACATTCACATACTCTTTCTTAAACAAGAGACAGCATGCTGTATACATTATTTTATACCTCGTTTTGACACTTGATAACTTTTATACAGTTGCATAATTTTCATTGGGCAGATGAATGTACCATAGTTTTTTCAGTCAGGTCCTTTATGGGTGAACATATGGGATTTTTTATTTTTTGCTCTTATAAATAATGAATAACCTTGTACATGTGTTATTTCATAGTTATGGAGGCTTATCTTAAAGGAGACCTGAAGAATCATTATTATTGAGGTTCATGATCTTCCTTGGGAAAATATTTTTGCCAACTAGAGAGACATTTATCTGCAAGTATCAGATGTTCTATATGTGTGCTATGAGTGGAAGTTGTTTTTTCAAGAAAGCATGTAAACCATTTATATGTCTTCACTCTAGTACTATTGCCTCATCCACTGTCCTGAGATTTGTAAGGTTAGCTTTTGTGCTTTTTATGATGAATACCTTCTTGTTTTTTATATGAATATTTTTGAATAAATACATTTCAGTACCTATTAAGTTAGGCATTACGTTAGGTGCTTTATGTTGTGAGATGTATTTCATTTTACAGAGGAGAAAGCTGAGGCTGAGAAGGATTAAGTCACTTGCCTAAAATCATAGAGCTGATAAATGGTAGAGCTAGAGTGTGAACCCAAATTTCTACTAGTCAGTGCCTATATTCTTACCGTATACTTTGCCCTCAGTCACATTAAATGTACTTCATAATCGTAGTTCTTTGTTTTCCTGAAACCTTTTTCAGTTTTGAGTCACTGAATATCTTTCTCCCTGTTTCTGGATTATCAAAACAGGGTGTTTTTTTGTAACATAGAATTAAGGTTTCATTGAGATGGTCTTAAGTTTTTGATCATCTTGTACCTTGATACTGGTGACTCGGGTATGGGTGTTACCTAAATTCCCCTGTTAAATAGTACAACATAATAGAAAAAAATCAAAACATTCTATTTATGTTATTTAGTTACTCTACATATATTTTGCTTTTCAGAAAATGATGAAGGAATGTATGGTGAGACTTATATATTGTGAAATGCTTGGATATGATGCTTCCTTTGGCTATATACATGCAATCAAGTTGGCACAACAAGGAAACCTTTTAGAAAAAAGAGTAGGTATGTATGTGTTTAAGACTTTAATACTTAATGCTGTCCTTAAAGTTCCAGCTACTATATAAAATGAAGTGCAGGTATTTAGTATGTTTTTAGAATATTGTCTTGGAATTTCTAAAGCTTTAAAAGATAACACTTCAGAAACTCAAAACCTATGAATGAAATGTGTTTTCCTGATTCATAGCATTTTGGAATTATGGAGAAGATTAAAAATTGCTTCTTCTTTTGATGGTGGTTAGATGACTATATATATATATATATATATTTGTCAAACTCATTGAGCTATATACACTTAAAAGTTCATAAGGTGGGTGAATTCTCTTGTATGTAAATCATACCTTAGTAAAACTGATTTTAAAAAGTATGTCTGACTTCATCAGTTTAATGATGAATTAAACAAATATTATTTTTATAGGATAAAAACTGAAATTGACCTGAGTCATTTTAAATCCTGTTTTCAGTTTCACAAATGTTAGCTATGAAGATTAGAGGTATCTTTAAAAAATTTTCATCTCTGTGATCAACCTTAAGGGCTATTAGCAAAAATCTTATCAGGGATTTTAAATTTTCTGTTCATAGGTTCAATTTTATATCAGAACCCCAAGAAGCAATCATTTTAGACTAACATAGCAGTGGAACATATTCTTTATTCAGAGGAGTTGATAGTATCATGTTACAAGGACCAACATTCTTCACAAGTCATATTAACCTGTACTGTCAGATGGAGTTGGGGTGGGAGATAGCTTGGTAAAGATTCCAAGTCTGTATGTGCACAATATTCTGCCTGTTGAACCTCACTCTGTCCAAAATACCCTCTGTCTTCTAGATTTGTATTCTTCCCTCCAGGTAGAATGTTCTCTGTCTTTCCCTTTCCATATTCCAAGTCAAGTTTAACTCTTCTGTGATTACTCAGGTGGCTCCTACCATCTGTTACCATATCTTTTCATATATTGATGTCTTAGCTCCCAAACTAATTCTAAGACTCCTAAAGGTAGGACATTTTGAAAACAATAGATAGTAAATATTAGATGGATGGTGGTACAGTTATTTTGTACAACTATTGATATATTCTGCTTCTTAGACTTCCATGTAATTTTTTAATTTAATTTAATTTTAAAAACATGTAAAGCATTAACATGGTTCAAAATTAGATCTTATAAAAAGATGTAATCAGAGAAGTCTTCACTTTCATCTGTAGCTCCTATGCAATTTGTACCTTACCCCTGTAGATAACTTTTAATTAGTTTCTGATTAATCTTTCTTTTGTTTTTTTTCTGGACAGCAAGCAAATGCATGGGTACACATTCACATACTCTTTCTTAAACAAGAGACAGCATGCTGTATACATTATTTTATACCTCGTTTTGACACTTGATAACTTTTATACAGTTGCATAATTTTCATTGGGCAGATGAATGTACCATAGTTTTTTCAGTCAGGTCCTTTATGGGTGAACATATGGGATTTTTTATTTTTTGCTCTTATAAATAATGAATAACCTTGTACATGTGTTATTTCATAGTTATGGAGGCTTATCTTAAAGGAGACCTGAAGAATCATTATTATTGAGGTTCATGATCTTCCTTGGGAAAATATTTTTGCCAACTAGAGAGACATTTATCTGCAAGTATCAGATGTTCTATATGTGTGCTATGAGTGGAAGTTGTTTTTTCAAGAAAGCATGTAAACCATTTATATGTCTTCACTCTAGTACTATTGCCTCATCCACTGTCCTGAGATTTGTAAGGTTAGCTTTTGTGCTTTTTATGATGAATACCTTCTTGTTTTTTATATGAATATTTTTGAATAAATACATTTCAGTACCTATTAAGTTAGGCATTACGTTAGGTGCTTTATGTTGTGAGATGTATTTCATTTTACAGAGGAGAAAGCTGAGGCTGAGAAGGATTAAGTCACTTGCCTAAAATCATAGAGCTGATAAATGGTAGAGCTAGAGTGTGAACCCAAATTTCTACTAGTCAGTGCCTATATTCTTACCGTATACTTTGCCCTCAGTCACATTAAATGTACTTCATAATCGTAGTTCTTTGTTTTCCTGAAACCTTTTTCAGTTTTGAGTCACTGAATATCTTTCTCCCTGTTTCTGGATTATCAAAACAGGGTGTTTTTTTGTAACATAGAATTAAGGTTTCATTGAGATGGTCTTAAGTTTTTGATCATCTTGTACCTTGATACTGGTGACTCGGGTATGGGTGTTACCTTAGCCAGACGAGTTTCAGCAACTGGTAAGACTTAGGCTCCACTTTAAATGCTCTCCAGGGTTTTACTCATCTCTTTCTTAGCTATGGTAGTGCTTTTTTCTCTCAGGATTGTGGGAGTAATGGTTCTGCTCCTCGGACCTTCAGTGAACATACTGCAGTGGGTCACACTGCTGCTTCTTGGTTGTGAGAATAGGAAGTTTCTAATAGTTTTCCCATGTTCCCCGACACATACAGACAGTGTGGATGCTGGATAATGATGAGGATAGTTAACATTAGGATCCCTAGTGAAAGGGCTGAGTGAATTGAGACGAATGAAAAACAATGAGGATGGGAATCAGGGATTAGGGCCCCTAGATAGACTGTATGGAGAGACAGGACTGCATAGGAGTTAAAAACATGAACTAACTCCTGCTGTTGGGGTTGAGTCCTGGCTCCACCATATAATAGCTGTAGACCTTGGGCAGTTGGCTTTTTGCATCTCTCATTATTGTATTGGGGATTATAAGAATACTGACCTCATAGAGTTGCAAGGATTAAACGAGATGAGGCTTATAATGTCCTTGACCCATGCTAAAATAAATGTCATCAGTGTGAAGGGTGATAGGAAAATGACATGGAGCATTTAGATTCCAGCCACGTAGCATTTTTCTTAATAATGTATTTCCTCAATCTTAAGATGTACTTTTTTATGTTTTAATATTATTAAAATAAAAATGCTTATTCAAATCAATGAGTGCATTTAGTGTGGTAGTCAGTGTTTCCTTCCTCAACAACTGTTAATCATTCAATAGTGTATCTTCAAATGGAGAAAATAAGGGATTGTTTATGGCTTAATATATGATTTACATCGCATGGGTTGGTAATCGGTAGCTCATTCAATAAATACAAATAGAACTCACTGTTAACTGTAGTAACTAGTAGTTTCTGAATAACTATATGTTTTCAGCCAGTTCCCTATTGGTATGTATGGGTTGGTTTTTATTTTTTGCTCTTATAACAGTGAATGGCCTTGTGCATGTGTTATTTCATAGTTATGGAGGCTTATTAACGGAGACCTTAAGAGTCATTTTATTGTGATATCTTTTAAAAAGATATAATCAGAGAAGTCTTACTTTCATCTCTAGCCCTTACCCAGATTGCCCCTTAACAATCTCTGTAGGTAACTATTTTCATTAGTTTCTGATTAATCTTCCCATTGTTTCTTTTTGCAAAACAAGCAAATGCGTGGGTACACATTCACATACTCTTTCTTACACAAAGGGAAAGCAGGCTATATAGATTATTCTAGAAAGTGTTAGAAATGTTTTGATTAATTGTGTTGAGATTTGCACAGAAAATAGAGGCATATATTCCTAATGTCATTTATAGAACTTTAAATTGATATGTGGAGCCTCTTTTCCATTTCAGGCATATCCTGTGAAATATATAATTTTGAAAGATTTTGGAATAAAAAACACCTGAAATCTTCCTTGCTTAAGTTTTTGAACTATATATTTTGCAGCTTGTTTTTATGTTTACCTGTCATTGGTATCTTTGACACTTAAATTTTGGAATATATTATTGTTATGTTTAACTTCTTGGGAAAAGTTAAATTTTAGCAGCTAATGAGACTTTTCCCCTCAAATTTTGTAGGTTATTTGGCTGTTTCCTTATTTCTCCATGAAAGTCATGAGCTGTTGCTTCTCCTTGTGAATACAGTTGTAAAGGTACTGTATTTTGTGTGAATTTGTATTAAGTCTTGATTATTCCTGCAAGCATCTGTCATTTCTCCCCAATTATATTGAATTGGCTGTTTTTATAAGAAGGTAGGCTTACAGAATGGGCTTAGGAAGATCTTTTAGATTAGTTTCTGCACCTGTAAAATGAGGATAGTAACAGAACTTAATACTTTTCTTGCTGTTGTCTTTTTCTCTGGGATCTGTTCTGAAAGGATATAGATATACACTGAGTAATTGAAGTCTTTTAAATTCTAAAAATCATTTTAAAGGAGAATAGAATATAATTGGGTAAATGAACTGTATAGATAATAAAAACACAATTTAATCCACATGATATTTTTCCTGTTAAATGTTAATCAAATTGGTAATAATGTATAATTGAATTGTTGAGCTTTTTCAAGTTTATCTGTGTCACTCTTTTGACAGATAAGTTTTTGTGTATGTATATAGTACTTTGTGAATATACTCTATTAAAGGTTACTAGTAGCTTAAATTTTTCCAAGCTTTAAAAAATATATTTTTTTGGTTCTATTAGAATGATTTATAAATTTGTACATATATAAGTATATTTGAATACATGGGTTTTATTGTATATGAGAATTACTTCCTTTTAACCTTCTACTTGTATTACTGATTAACAAGAAAAATTCATAGAATTGCTTTGTTACTAGTTTGGAAAAGTTTCCAAATGCTGTATATGTAATAAAAGGAGACTGCTTTGGCCAGTGTCAGAGCAGAAATACAGTTTCCTTTTGGATCAGTTGCTTTTGGCTGTATTTATCTGTTGACTCTATGTAGACAAATGAAAGAGGGATATTCTTATAAAATATGAGATAAGCTTGAATGCACCAAGTTATTATAATTACAAAGTTGGTAGAAAACCATTAGTATGGTATGTAGGATCATTGCAATGTTGAGCCAGCTATCCCTACCTACAAAATTTGCACTGAATGTTTTCTTTGCTTAATAATTATGTCAGGACTTACAGAGCACTAACCTGGTGGAAGTATGTATGGCACTTACGGTCGTCAGCCAGATTTTCCCTCAAGAAATGATTCCAGCTGTTCTTCCATTAATAGAAGATAAACTTCAACATTCTAAGTAAGTAAATTCTTTGTGGATAGGTATGTACACTATATATTTTAAAATAAAAATTTATACTAAAAAATTTATTCCAAGTTTAACTTAATGCTACCAGGGTAGAGCATATTCTTTGACTGCCAGATATTATGCAAAAATCCCTGATGGCATCATCCTTTATTTTTGTGTGGGTTTAAAAAAATGTTAGGCAGCTTTCTAAACTGAGAGGCAATGAGGCTGTGTGTCAGGGACCTTTGGTACTACTAACAGTACCACTAACAGCAGTGGCCCAGTTTTTCCCTTGCCTGTATGGGGTTGATTGAAGCACCTTAGTTCTCACAAAGTCGTTTTGAAGATCAAGTGAAATAATGGAAAGCATTTGGGAAAGGTTCAAGTGCTCTGAATGTAGAGAGCTTCAGTGTGTTGGGGTTGCTTTTACAGCAAAATAGCAGCATTCAAATTCTTGTAGCATAATATATCCAAATAAAACCTTAAGTTGTAGTATACTGCTTATCCTATCTTGTAAGATTCCTTAACTGTCTCCCTTAATAGCTTGACTTACTTTTTCTCCACACTTGGAATTATTTTGTTTTTGACCAAGACTCCTAATTTCATTACCTTTAAAGCTAGGAAAAAGTTGCAGTCATTTTCCATTTTTCCTTTGTGATCACAGTATTTTAGTTATACGTACATTCTTGATAAAGAGTTTTTTTGTTACTCATACTTTATGAGTAACATACTTCATATGTTCAAGTCAGTATTTTTAGTGTTCTAAGATTATAAAATGTCTACAGTTTGTATTCTTTAAGAAATCTTGGACCAGTTGTCTAGCTAAAATAATAACTTTGACTAAGAATTATAGAGTAACTTTAAGAATTATAGAGTAAGTTTTTCAGACTTGTTGTGATGTTTTGTCTATGTCAAATCTGTGTTTAAAACGAATGATGAATATAGAAGATTAATTACTGAAACTAAATGATTAGCTTTTCTTGGATAATCATAGGTTGATGTGGTCATAGCAGAGCATATTTTTATAAAATTTTTCCTTACCATTTACTGTTTTGTGGTAATCATACTTACTGACCCTTTGTATGGAATACTTCTGAGGATTAAATTTTTTCCTGTTGCTTCCCAGTTACCCTTTCAGTTTTTTCCTTATTGCTTCCCATTTTATTTCAAATCCTCATCTCTCCTGTCTTCTACTAATTAGAGTTTAGATTTTTTGAAAAGCTGCTCTGTAGTTACGGCCATTCTGAACTCCATGCTATAAAGAGCTAAAGAATATGGGATAGAGATACAGGTAGGCCAGTAGGTATCACAAAGAAGATGTGAGTGAGGGCTTGGTTTTGACTTGAGAATCCCTGGCTGTATTTCAGCATGCCAGACCTAGAGCCCGAATCTAGGTCTCTTGATGTCTTGAGTTAGTACCACCACCACACCAGGCCTGGGGATTCTGGAGCCTGTTCAGAGTTTGTATTCTTTTTCCTTATGTCGTTTACCTAACTCTAATATTGGTAAACACTCAATTACAATACATTGGGATGTAGTGTACAGTCATCATAGTATTAATACCAATGACAAATCTAGTTAATCTGAAGGTAGTGAGTTGCTTGTTAATAAAATTTAGCAGAAACTGGATGATCATTGTTAGGAATCTTATAAAAGATATTCTTGAGCAGAACACAGAGGGTTGATTGAATAATCTCAATTTTGAGATTCTATGATTTTAGGTAACAAATACATATTTAGAACCCTAATAAAAGGAAATACTGGCTCTTGTGCCATTTGCTGCTGTTGTGAGCACTGCCAGCATAGTCTGCAAATAATGGAACATGTAGGAATAGGCATAAGAAAGTAACAAGGAGTATACTTTCTTGAAAATCACATTATTAATATAGGATAGCAACTCTTTACTTTTGCTTCTTGTGTGCTAGACATTATCTGTTACAAATTTAGAGCAAGACTAGTGCATACTTTCATTGTAATGAGGTTTTTGAAACATGAGCTGGACAAGGAGAGGAATAACATCTTTAAATTTGAGTTTCTCCTGTACTCTCCTGCCCCTTTAATATATTTGGAGTATGTTTGCCTATGATATAAAAAAAATATGAATATCTGGAATGTTAGAGAGACTTTTAATTTTAATAAAGAGACTGTTCAGTATTACTAGCCGAAATTACCCCTTACTGATTTAAACTTAATGTTGATTCTTTTCCAAATTTATACAGAAATGGCTTTCAAAAATAGAATTAGGGAATTAAGGAATCTGTTTATCTTTGTTGTTTTTTCTGGTTTCAAAAGTATTGTATGATGTATCTGTATTCCTATTCTGTTAATGTGTGTATGCAATCTAATTAGTAGTTTGTTAAAACCTATACTCTACAAGAAGTTATGTCAAAGAAATAATCAATCTTCCCATGTTTTCTTCTGTCTGCTACTTCTATAGCTTTTCTTCTTCCTTCCTAATTACAGCCCTTTAGTAGAATTCGTGCCTCATATTTAAAATTACGGTGTATCATAATTCTTCCAAGTGGTAAAGATACCTCAAGATAAGTGCTGGGCATAGAAGCCACAGGGCATAAATCTGCAAGGAAGTAAAAAGCTAACCTTTTCAAAGAATATTGCTTCTCTCTCACCAAATTTACATTTCCCTGTATGGCCCCGGAAGACGGCTGGTTAGCCAGAGACGGGTAAGATTCCTCGAGGGAGGAACAACCTAAGACAGGCACAGTCGCAGGGGGGCAATCAGGTGAGAAATTGGGGGTCAGCGGAGGTGAGGCTTAGAACCTCACCCCCTGTTTTGAGAGAAATCTTCTGCATCCATGGATGTTTTGTTGCCTTTGTCTAGCTTGGATTAATACTTAGTCTATAGGCACAGACCTGATCATACATTTGCCCTCTTACAGCACTAACTTATGCTTTTCATCTTTATCTTGCATCTACCTACCAATTCAGCATTTTATTTAAAAAAATAAAATAAAATAAGGGAGAAATGTGAGATTCACATATAAATCATGTATAAAAATCAAATGAGTAATCATATCTGACTTGGTTGTTTATAGTTCATGATGCGTGATCAGAACCGAAAGTTTCTGTGATATGACTGCCCTTGCACTGTTCACCATGTAAGAACTTACTCACTATGTAAGAACTTGTTCGCCATGTAAGAACTTGTTTGTTATGCTTCAGAAGATTGGAGACTGGGCTTGGGGTTGATTAATGATTGTGCATTGAGTCCCCTATACAGAATTTTATTGTTGTAAACAACCATTTGATCAATAAATACGAGAGGTGCCCTCTCAAAAAAATATATATATATTGTGTGCTTGTTACCAAAATATTCCATAACTAGAGAAACGTATAACATAGTTAAATCCTCTTGAAATTTTACCTCCTAGGTATAGCTACTTTTTATAGATTGGTGTATTAGAATAAAGAAACTAATAATAAATGAATAATTCTCTCTTTTTATATTTAAGTAATAGCTGATACTTTGAAATCATCTGGTCCAAAATATTTCAAACTAAATGCCTGATGATTCAGATGGTTTGTTTAGATTTCACTTTTTATCTTTAGGGAGATTATTCGAAGAAAAGCTGTTCTGGCATTGTACAAATTCCATCTCATTGCTCCTAATCAAGTACAGCATATCCACATTAAGTTTCGGAAAGCACTTTGTGATAGAGATGTTGGGGTCATGGCTGCTTCTTTGCACATATACCTTAGGATGATTAAGGTAAGTTGGGAATTTCACCGGTACTGAGCAGTTACCATTAGAAAAATATAATTATGAAATTAAGAGAAAACTAAGAGTTTTTTGGTAAAATAATTAACAGTTCAAGTTTTTATTATTGGCATAATTTTTGCCAGTTGTTGATAGCATGAATTGTAGGCACATTACAGAACTAGTCTTTTTTTTTTTTTAAATGCCTCAAGTTTTTCATGTTACTAAAAAAGCACAGAAAAATGGTGGCTATGGAAGGAGAATGAAATTTTCAGATTTGTGGTTTTTCAAGCAGACTCTCTTTTATACAACTTCAGCTTACAGAAATAAGGGGAGCTGGTGAGGGTGATGCAAGGTATAGACTACAGTGTTAATGCCATACATTGATACTGTGTCAAATGAGGGAGGCTTGAATGGTATGGTAAAATTTTCTAAATCGTGATATGGGTTTGTACTAATTCAGCTCTAGTGTATTGCCTATAACCCTTTGTATCCAAAAGAATCTATTTGTGAGAGATTTCATGAGTACCTCCTGACAAAATGGAATATACTGTTGAATTGAGTTGAAAATTATAGAACTAAAGGTTGTTTTCATATTTATGTAAGTTTGTTCCAAAATAGCATGGTATAAATAAATATTTGGTATTACATCTGTTTTTTCCTCTAACACTTACTAAACTTTGAAAGAGCTATTATTTCCCTTCCAAAAATTTGTCCTTGGTAATAATAAAAATTATAATGAAGAATGTAATGTTCATTTTGAGGAATGTGTATTTAATTTTCTCAGTCCAAGAGATTAGTCAGATAATCAAGGTACACTGATTCAGAAACACAAACATGTTTAAATACTGTAGGGTTAATTAATTTTTAGTAGGCTGAGTCACTGATTCTGGGGGGTTTGAATGTTTGAGTAGTCTTGCCTATATGCCCTGTGCTCTTCTATGCGGAGCACATTGAGCTCATTTACATAAAGTCTTTCTTACAAATTTCAGAGATTGCAAACAGGCCCTGATTTTCATCACCAGGAGAGATATTACTGCCCCTTTACTCTCTGCCAGTTCTTTTCACTTTTTTATTTAATTACTGGTATTGGCTATTAAAGGTTCTATATTAGATGTAATTATAAGAACTTTTGAAATGTCTTTAGATTGTGTGGGGGACAGGTAGGAAGTGGTGAAAGCTTTTTGAGGGATGATTCAGTTTTGGATTGGGTAGGCAGAGGATTTTCATCATGGAAGATAATTAAACAGATTATTGTTTCATTACATGTGTGAGTATGAACATTACAGGAAACATCTATGTTAGCATGTATTAAATTAGATTTATATGACATTTTATCCAGGTCTATTTTGTATTTGATAAGACATTATTACTAATGGTAAGTTTTTGTTTTGTTTTGTTTTTGAATGTAGGAAAATTCCTCTGGATATAAAGACTTGACTGGAAGTTTTGTTACAATTTTGAAGCAAGTAGTTGGAGGGAAGCTCCCAGTAGATTTCAACTACCACAGTGTGCCAGCACCATGGCTACAAATTCAGCTCTTGAGAATATTAGGACTTCTAGGGAAAGATGACCAAAGGTAAATGATTCTAAGTAAATTTGATAGTGTTAGGTTTTAGTAAGCTAGAGGTTTCATGATAAGCCTGATTGCCCCAATGCTTAATTGGCTTAATAGTGATAGATAAATCATTGTAAGAAGTATATAAATACAGGTTGCTGGGGTAATCCTGGCTGTTTATCTAAATTCTGCTTATAGTGAAAGGGTCTGAAGCTCCATATTTTTGATCCTTTCTTAATGATTCTAGTTTAGGGGCTTGGAAATTTTTTCTGTAATGGGCCAGATAATAAGTATTTTAGACTTTATGAGCTGTATGTTGTCTGTTGCAACCATTCAACTCTGCTGTTGTATAGCTCAAAAGCAGCTGTAGGCAGTATGTATATGAATGAGCACAGCTATGTTCTAATAAATACTTTCTATGGATGTTAAAACTTGAATTTCATATCATCTTTGAATGTGATGAAATATTCTTTTGATTTCTTTTCCAACCATTTAAACATGTAAAAACCATTCTTAATCTGAAGCCATACAGAAACATATCCAGTCAGATTAGGCTTGTGGACTAATTTGCTGACTCTTGCTCTGGTTGGATGTGAGCACTCTAACCTTCTTAATTCATTTGCTAGAATTAACTCTTTGAGCCAGTCATTTATATTAAGCTTTTTATAGGTGTCTGTCCAATTTTGTTTATTTTTTGTAACTTTTTATTTTGCTGTAGTTTTTCAATTTTATAGAAAAATTCCAAGGATAGTACAAGGAGCTCCCTTATACCTTTTATATGGATTCATCAATTATTTGCATTTGCTCTGTCATTCTTTCTCTCTCTGTCTTTATGTCCATGTTTTCACATTTATTGTTTTTGTTTTAAAATTTTTTTCTGAACTGTTTGAGAGCAAATCCAACTAGATTTGAGTTACCTTGAGAACAAGGACCATGGCTTGAGTCTTTGATGTATTTCTGTCTTAAGAAAACATTTGCTCATCAGTTTTCTGACTTTATGAGATATAGTTGTTTTTTAGGCAGTAGGGTACATTTATATTCTGATTCTTTAGCCTACCTACAAAGGGATTGTCCTGCAGGCTGTTGCTCCTCCTATTGCCTCGTCAGCATCATGTCAGCTCGGTCTGCCCATGAGCTCCTGATGAGCACTAATTGGTCTGTATCATTCTTGGTATTGCTGTGTCACTTTTTTCTGTGTCTATCAGTCTCAACCCCTAGGCTGATTGAAAGCTAGGGTGAAACCTGGAAGTGATAGAGTAACACACATTAAAAATCTTTGTCCTAATTGTATTTTGTTTTATATAACCCAGCCTATCCTGTTGTGGAACTATAGTTGGAGTTCACTGGAATTCTGTTTTAAAATTACGGATTTCAAACTATGCATCCAGACCTCACTGGTCTAAAAAGATCTAACATAATACATTGTCACAAAGTAACTTTGGAGACATTTAGTGTATTTACTAAATTCATTAACTCATCATCTTCTGCTTTCCTTCATGGATGAATTTGGGGAGCACATACAAAGATGAGTAAGAGAGTGCTTACCTTCAAAGAGTAGAGTTAAATAGAAATTGGGCTCAGTGAAATGAATAGAGAGAAACTCCTTTAATAATGTGAGACAATGTTTTCTCCTTTGTTGTCCCAACTGCAATAAGATTTTACATCAACATAAATCTTATATTTCTTAAGACAAGATTATCTCAATGTAACAAAGTAAAAATGTTATTTTATAACAGAATTCTAATATATTTAATTGAAATAATTAATTTACTAGAAGTATTTTCTTATATTTGTGTTTTTTTTGCATCTTTTGCTGGAATTTTTTGTGTGTATTATAGTATTGTTTCTTAGGTTAACATCTAGCTTGATCATGTCTGCAAATGTTTCCACATTTAATGTGGTTAATTACGACTTTTATGTCAGACATTAGCTTTTAAATTGAGAAACCAGACTGTAATCTAGGTGGAGTATTACCAAATTTTGGGTGGGTGGGAGGTTGTAATGTCTACTGTATAATTATTACCTATGAAATAAATGCTTGCACAGTAAAATGAGGGATTTCAGAATATGCTTCTGGATTCTCACTAGATATTTGTACTTCAGTCAAGATAGAAGAAAAGTACATGTACTTCAAACTTAATATTATAGCTGTATCTTTGGAAAAAAGTTTCCTGAAAAAAATGTAATATGCATGATAATGTAATCTGGGTAGCTCTAGATTATTTTTATCTTTTTGTTTGTTTTATGGTAGTTTCTCTGCAAGACTCTTTTGGACAGTAGTTTTTTTTCTATTAATGCTTTTTGAATTTGTAAAACATACAGAAATACCAGCTGAGAAACTGTAGTTTTCACACTGGCATCTTGGAGAGGACGTCTAGGCTTGGGGCCAGAGTTCTAGTGCTCTATAAAGTACTGTATTTTCTTACAGTATCTACCTCAGTCTAGTTACTGTAACTGTAATCAATGACCATAAAGATATAGGAATGGTACAAATCTGTTAATTCTACAAAATGTAACTTCTTTGTATTTATCATAAATGAAAGTTAAAATTTTTTTCTGAAGAACTTAGTGCTGCTTAAAGAAGAACTAGTATTTGAGCTAGACTATTTTAAAAGCTGTATGGTTAAAATACACATAATATACTGTCTGGAATAAATTGAATGTGTGAGGCATTACTGTAGTAACTTGAAACAGGTAGAGATATTTTATTACCTAGAAAATTTAAAAAGGTAGTATGTTTAACAAAACAAAACCTGATTTATAAAGTAGGTACAGATTGAGGAAAGAATTGGTTGACATGTTTATCTCTTCATTGTTTAGTCAGTATTGATAAAGCAGGAAGTTAAACTCATGAAAAAGAGCAAATTCAGTCTTTAAGAAGTGAAATGCCCATAACTTCATAAAATGAATTTCTTTCACTTCTTTTCTGTAGATCCTCAGTTATAAAGATACAGAAGTTTGAAAAACTTTGTTTTATTGGGTTATAATACTATAATTCTACTGCAAATAAAATATCTTTTAAACAGGACAAGTGAATTAATGTATGATGTTCTTGATGAATCCTTACGAAGAGCTGAGTTAAATCACAATGTCACATATGGTAGGTAACACATATAAATACTACTCTAATGACTAATGGTGTTTTTAATATTATAGCTAAATTTGTGTTAGAATACTATAAATTCTGATATAATTTTATTGTTAATTTTAAGGTGGTTCTCTGGTTATTTTTCAATGGATGCATTGAATAACTAATAAAAATAACTTGAAATTATGTCACTGTTTTAAATGTTGACCTACATTCATTATTTTAATTGTCTCTGTTTTAAAAGATGTTCTCTTTTAAGAGAAATTATCTCTTTATTGAAGATGTTCATCAAGCATCTAACTGACTGTGAAGTTAACCCAGTAGATCAATTCCATCTTTAAGAGGATAGTCCTTAAGTCAGTCTGTCAGTTAGTAATCAAATATTCCTTAAATTATTATGTTATTTGTCAGGCCTCATGCAAGATGCTTGGAGTACAGCTATGAATAAAACAGTATTATCATTGATCTCACAGATTAGATTGATGGAAAAGGACAGGTGTCATCAGTGTTAGAAAGGAAAGCTATTGGGTGATGTGGGAGAATGTAGCAGTTAGTCTTAGCTGAAGAGAACAAAGAAGGTTTTTCTGAAAAAAACTGATGTTTAAGAAGACAACTGAAGGATGAGTAAGATATAGATAAGGATATATAGGACATGTGAGATAATAATGTAGTATTTTGTGAAGAGAATAGCTATGTATGTTACGTATAATTTAAAAAAGTAATTCAGTGTTAGGAGACAAGAGTAAGTTGGAGGAAGAAGGTGAAGAACTGAGAAGAGTAACCAAAAAACTTCCAATTTTAATAGCCTCAGAGAGGAACTCTTCTTTTTTATTTTTTATTTTGGTATCATTAATCTACAATTACATGAGGAACATTATGTTTACTAGGCTCCCCCCATCACCAAGTTCCCCCCACATTCCCCATTGCAGTCATTGTCCATCAGCATAGTAAGATACTGTAGAATCACTACTGTCTTCTCTGTGTTGTACAGCCCTCCCTGTGCCCCCCGCTCACATTATACATGCTAATCATAATGCCCCCTTTCTTTTTTCCCCGCCTTCCCACCCATCCTCCCCAGTCCTTTTCCATTTGGTAACTGTTAGTCCATTCTTGGGTTCTGTGGGTCTTCTGGTATTTTGCTCCTTCAGTTTTTTCTTTGTTCTTATACTCCACAGATGAGTAAAATTATTTGGTACTTGTCTTCCTCCGCCTGGCTTATTTCACTGAACATACCCTCTAGCTCCATCCATGTTGTTGCAAATGGTAGGATTTGTTTTCTTCTTATGGCTGAATAATATTCCATTGTGTATATGTACCTCATCTTCTTTATCCATTCATCTACTGATGGGCACTTAGGTTGCTTCCATTTCTTGGCTATTATAAATAGTGCTGCGATAAACATAGGGGTGCATATGTCTTTTTCAAATGGCTCCTGTATTCTTAGGGTAAATTCCTAGGAGTGGAATTCCTGGGTCAAATGGTATTTCTATTTTGAGCTTTTTGAGGAACCTCCATTCTGCTTTCCACAATGGTTAAACTAATTTACATTCCCACCAGCAGTGTAGGAGGGTTCCCGTTTCTCCACAACCTCGCCAACATTTGTTGTTGTTTGTCTTTTGGATGGTGGCCATCATAACTGGTGTGAGGTGATATCTCATTGTGGTTTTAATTTGCATTTCTCTGATGACTAGTGATGTGGAGCATCTTTTCATGTGTCTGTTGGCCATCTGAATTTCTTCTTTGGAGAACTGTCTGTTCAGNTCTGAGAAGCTCAGTGAAGAAAGTGGGATATTTGGAGATATTTAGAAGGTAGAAGTAAAACAGTTGACATATTCATGCTTTGGAGAAGAGCAGTAGAAGAGGTATTGAGAGATATAACTTAAATGAAAAGTAATTTCTTCATCTGGTAAAATACCATAAAGTAGGGGATGAAGAGCATCAATTGTGCTTCCAGACAGTGGTAAACTGTGGATCAGAAATTAAACTAGTTTAGCTGTAAGAAAAGTGCTTAACAGATATACAGTAGGCATAAGGAGAAAGGATTGTGTTCAAAGAACTAGTACAGGAAAAATAATACACATGGTAATGAATTGGGATAGTAAATTTTGAAGGATGGCGTTACATTTTGCATGTATAAATGATAATTAAGGCAATAAAAGTGGTTTATTCATTTGTTCATCCAGTATTTACTGAATGTCCACAAAATAAAAACTTGATTTGTAAACTAGGTACAAATTGAGGCAAAAGTTGATTGACTTATGCATTCCTCTATGCTAAGTATGGGGGATTAAAGGAAGAATAAGGTAGACACAGTTCCCGCTCTTATCAGTATAATGAACAGTTGATATTATGTAGGACCCTGCTGTGTAAAGAGAAGAATAAGGGGCCAGAGATAAGGATAGCCCTTATTGAGGCAGGTGGTTTGGCTGGGAGCTGTCAGAAGATCCAGAGAAGTTATCAGTCTTTGCAGACAGCTAAAGTAAGTTAAAAAATTTTGCTTGAGATAGAACCAGTGTTTAGGATAAAGGTTTGAAAGGCTCTTACAGAATTCTAGTTAAGATCAGTTAAGAATCTGCTTTCCCTTTTTTTTTGTAGAATTTTTTTTTGTAATTGACATTTCAACCTTAATTAAAAAAATTTTTTTGAATAGGTAGTATATGCTCATGGTTCAAAATTCAAAATGTATAAAAATGTAGACAGTGTACAATAAGTGTCCTTTTGACCCTTATTACCCACCACCCCAGTCCCCTTTTTTGGAGATAACCACTGTTACCTGTTCCTTTTGATGTGGAGAATACTGTATACCTGAGGAAATATTTTTTAATGTTTTCCACTAGGATGCTCTTATTAAGATTGCTGGAACCAGCACCAATAATTTGTTTCTTTGTAGGCTGTCAGTCCAGTGTGTTACCCTGCCACAGACACCTTGCAGTTTCTTTTCTGTTGTTTTATTTCCTTTATTCATCTTTACATTATTATCCTTTTTTCCCTGTATTTGTATAGATTCATAACTTATGTTGATTTTATCAATGGTAGAGTGTTCTCTGGTAACCCAGTATAAATATTTTATTGCTTAAGAATGTGAATTTTAAATTACAAAGTTCATAAGGGCAGGGGTTGTGTCTATCCCAGTATTTGGTACTGGGTTAATCAGTAAGTTATATGTTTTAATTGCATTAAAAAGAGGAGGTTATTTTACTTTTATCAGTTATCTGATTGGGTTTCAGTCAATACTAAACCACATTTTTATGGAAGTCCCATTATTATAACTTACCTTAGTGTCATATCAAGATATAAATCACATCAAAGACATTTATTGAGTATCTACTTTGTGCCAGGCATTGTATAAAATGGTACAGAGAATATGAAGAAATATAAGCTGTAATCTTTCTTTTCAAGGAATTTACAATGTAATGAAAGAGATAACTGATTTGTGAAAACGTTACACGAGTAAGGCAGAATGCAAAAGGATGGTTTAGGGAATCAATATTATAGGGGTCCAGAGGCGATTCAGATCACTGTGGGCCTGAGCGCACATGTAAGGGCACACAATAGGACCCTGAAAGGTAGGTAGGTTTCAGATAGCCAGAAAGGTTGTCCAAGGGTGCTAGGCAGAGGGAACGTGAGACAAGGTGCAGAAGTGGGGATAAGATCAGTTTCAGTAAACACTGACTGACCAGGCTGAATAGATGACTCAGCAGAAGAGTGGAAAAGCCACACTGCAGAGCCCTTTCATGGCAGCCACATGAGTTTGGACTTTATAAATACAGGGGTAAAGAAGATCTTTGGGCAGGGTACTGATAGATGAGAATGGCATTTTAAGTGAACTATTAAGTAAATTGGGAGAATTATATGAAAGGGACAGAACCATCAGAAGCAGCTAGAAATACTTTTTTCCCTGTTTTTTTCCCCCGCTCAGTGCACCTAAATATCCTGGGTATTATATGTCAAATAAACATAAAACTGAAAGGTAGAACAACAAAGGCAGACTGGTTAGGGGTCTTGGGATACAAGGAGCTGCACCATGGGGAGTACCCTGGGTTTCTTTTTGCCTCATACTCCCCAGGCTGAGCCCTGGAGAGCCAACAACCTGCAAATGCCAACAGGCACAGACAAAAACACCCCAAGAAAAATCTGCTCTCTAGCCAAAGGGCCAGGAAGAAAAGGGTAAGCTAGCAAGATAGAAAACTCTTAGACAATAGCTCCTCTATTCCAGCCAAGCCCCACAGAAAATGAACTATGGCACCTATGGCAGCAAAAGCTAAGTGGAGAGCCAAGATTTCTACCCTTAGCAGGTGTAGCAAGGTGCCCAACTCTCTCACTGGCATGGTGGCAGAGAAGCCAAGAGGGGGCATCAGAATTTTGTCCCTGCCAGGTGTTAAGGCCCGCCCACCCCTACTTACATTGTCAGTGGAGATGACATGAGTAGCCTGGATTTCACATTATGCATGAGAAGGGAGTTAATGGGGTATCACTTCCCTCTTCACTGGGGTGCTGTTAGAGGAAGCCTAGTGGAGAGTTGGGGCTTTCACCAGTGGTCAGGGACACTGAGGTCACCTCCTCGGTGTCAGTGGAGGCCGCACAGGGAGCAGTAACAAGGTGCCCTTCCCTCTCTCAGGTAAGTGGTGTCAGCAAATACTCCCAACCCCCACCCAGGAGGAACCAGGATTGTCTCCCCATCCAAGTGTCAAAGGAGGCAGAATGGAGAACTTATGCTTCTACCCCGTAGAACTCCCATCTCCCTGCCAGAGTGGTGTCAATAGAGATATATTTATTTAAAACAAAAAATAGAGTCTAGTCCAGAAAATAAAGTATCAATAGAACTTCTTCAAATTTTGTGCATGATCCAACCCACAATATCTGTGGTAAAACCACAGTGTCACAATTAGAACATTATTAATTTTAATTTGGTACTTTCTACTGGATGATATTTTGGTTAGGATCTGGGCTGCCCTGGAAGAGTAAACAGAGCTCTACATTGTGTTTTTACATTTAGAAATCCTCAGAAGCACTTTATTTTGGCCATTGAGCAAGGAGGCAGCAGAGTGGCTGCTTTTTCATTTATGGACTTATACCCAGGTTTTTGTGGAATTAGAGAATAAAGGAACTTACAGCGCTAGTGGGAAAAATTTAAAACCCATTAAATTCATTTTCCACTAATTTATGTATAAGTTTACTCTAAGTATAATTTTTGAATTATTTATTTTATCTATACTGGCTTTCCAGAAATCTTATGAGCATGTAAATATAAAAGTAGGTTTTAGATGAATAATGAGATTTCATTGTAAAACAGTTTGTTAGCAGGAGAGTTCTGTATGGCAGGAATCCATAAAGGAAAATATGTCAGTAGAAATGCAACATCATCATTTTAAATTTTACTTAGGACTGTCCCATTAGTTCAGGGTTTGGCAAACTTTCTAAAAAGGGGGCAGATAGTAAATATTTTAGGCTTTGTAGTTACATAGGTTTCTGTCAAATAGCCTTTTTTGGTTTGTTTTGCTTTTTTAAAACCTTTAAAAAATGTAATTGTACACTTGAAACTAATACATGTCAATTAAAAAAATCTAAAAACCATTCTTAGTTCACAGGCTTATAAAAATAGGCCGAGGGCTGGATTTAGTGGTGGTTTGCCTACTCTTGCTTTAGTTGATTATTAACCAAAGATCTCTCTGTTTAGTTCATGAAGTCATAAAGTCAACCTTTCTCACAACATGGAATAAAGACATTTTTACAGCACAGCATATGACTATACAGAGTACCTTTTTTGTAGGTTCATTACTTTACTTTGTAGGTTTTCCTTTAAAGTCAGTTCCCTTCTTAAAGAGAAATTTCTATTTCTGATTTCTCTCTCTCCTTCTACAGAAAGGGTTTATATAAAGCTTTTTGCACAAAATTTATGTATGCATCAGTTGGTAGGCAACTTAAGCAGTGTAAAACATAGCTGGTTGAATATTCAAGATCTATCTTGAAGTGTCTGACTCTTAATGTTTTAAGCTTTTGGAAATAGAAAAGGAGTTACGGTATTAAGGACACTTGATATGCTTCAATTTGTAGAAGAACAGTTTTTAAATCTGATTTTCTGCTGATTTTAAATCTGCTGATTTTTTCTCATACTGTGATTCCCTAGGATCTGCAGGACTTAATGGTACCTTGATGATTGTTTACCATGGCAAAGCTCCAGCTTCTTGCTCACACTCTTTAAAAGAGTTTGAAAAATATTTCAGTAACCACTTTGGTCATCTGTCGTAGTTATCAAATCTTTGACAATATTAGAAAGTAAAATTTGAACACTAGATTATGCTACGTTCTTTGAGGTTAATTTTAAAGAAGTGACTTTAAGATTTTTGAGTAGTGGCTCTACTTTGAAATAAATGCTAGAGTATCCTAAAATGATTATATTGAAATAAACCACATTGAAATAAATGATATACATGGTTTCCGTGTATAAGTGATGGAAAATGCCTGAAAATAAATTATGGTAAAGCATTCAAGGGGTGTTGGAAATATCTATTTATCGGAACAATAAATACAGCTGACCCTTGAGCAGTGCAGAAATTAGGGGTGCCAACCTCTCATGCATTCGAAAATCTATATAACTTTGACTCCTCAAAAACTTTTACTAATAGCCTGGAAGCTTTTAGTTGAGTGGAGGCTTTACTGATAATATAAACAGTTGATTAACACATATTTTTTATACTGTATTCTTACAGTAAGCTAAAGAGAAAAGAAAATAATCTGTTTTATAGTACTGTACTGTATTTATCAATACCATAAATTTACATCATCTGTTAGAAGATGAATTGTCTGTCAGTACCTAATGTCAGTATTTTCTTTCATGATACAAAACACTGTAGATGGTATATGCACTAGTGCTAGACATCAAAAAGTGAAAAGATAATGTGAAAAATACATCTTTAATTACATGTATGATTCATGCATCAATAGTGATTTATGCATCAATAATGAAAAGGCAGCAATATGATAGCTTTATGGTAGCCTAGAATAATCCATACAATTGCTTCACAGTAGCCTAGCCTGTACACTAATGAATTGTTATACAATTTTTATGGCATACAGTATTAAAGTCATATTTATAATACAGTATTGGAAACATAGTTACTTAAAAAAAAACAACACTTACCTGATAAGCAGTTTCTCCAATTAGGACAGAGGCATACTGAGTGGTAATATAATTCTTTGAAAGCAAAGTTACTAAGTAGGAAGAAAATGAACACAGTGTTAATGTTATATTAAATATCACTCAATTTATGTCTGTGTAGGGATAGGCCATCCACTGCCATCAAGGCTCATATGTGATGTTCTCCACAATGATGGTGGTGACACAAAATTCATATACAGTTCTTGCTATATATTAGATTTTCACACACATATATAACATAAATTTATTAAGTGTATAGCATGATCATTATTTACTATTCATTAAGTGGAAGTGAGTCATCATAAAGGTCTTCATCCTTGTCGTCCTCATGTTGAATAGCCTGAGGAGGAGAAAGAAGAGGGGTTGGTTTTCCTATCTGGTGGCAGAGGCAGAAGGGGAGGAGGAGGTAGCAGGAGAGGCGGGCCATTTGATGTAACTTTACAGAAACAAATTGTATTTTCTGACTTGAATGCTTTTTCATTTCTCTAAAAAGGTTTCTATATGGTACCAGTTTTTCTTCCTCCATTTGCTTTAGTTTCAGTGCCTATACCATAGAAGAATCCAGTCCAAAAATAAATAAAATGTCTTGAATAATTGAAACCCTTTTGCCATATTGTCTAATGTCAGTTTGTTTTCTGGTGCTCCTTCTATATAATCTTCCTCATTGTCTAGCACTGGTTTGGAAGCACTCATCTCCATCAAGTTGTCATCTGTTAATTCCTCTGCTGTGGTGTCTGCTCTTGAATTTCACTAGGATCCATATCTTGAAACCCTTCACTCCCCACCTTTTTTTTTTTTTTTTTCCATATCTACAACCTTTTTCATGATTTCCTGGACTGGCTCTGTCATAAATCCTGGGAAGTCATGTACAACATCTGGGCACATTTTCTCCAGCAGGAATTTATTGTTTTGGGCTTGATGACTTTCACAGCTTTTTCTATAGAATGATGGCATGTTCAAAGGTGTAATCTTTACAGACTTTAATGATGTTCCCTCTGTTGGTATTCTCCTCCATAGCATTGACAGTCCTTTCCATAGAGTATCTATCGTGTATAATGAGCCTTAAAGGTTCTAATGACCCCCTGGTCTAGAGACTGAATTAGAGATGTATTGGGAGCAAGTGAACTACTTTACCACCTATGGTGTTGAACTCATTGATTTCTGGGTGCCCTGGGGTATTGTCCAATATCAAAGGAACTTGAAAAAGCAGTCCCTCAGTTGTAAGATACTTCTGACTTCAAGGACAGTGCATTGATGGAATCAGTCCAGGAAAAGGGTTCTCGTCCAGGCCTTTTTGTTGTGCAGCAAAAGACAGATCTGGTGTTTATCTCTTCCCTTCCAGGCTTGGGGGTTAGCAGCTTTATAAATACGGGCAGTCCTGATTGTAAACCTGACTGTATTTACACAGAACAGTGGAGTTAGCCTATCCCTTCCTGCTTTAAATTCTGGAGCTCACTTCTCTTTCTTACTAATGAATGTCCTTTGTGGCATTTTTTTCCCCCCGAGAATAGGGTACTTTCATCTGCATTATCAACCTGTTCAGGCAGTTATCCTTCTCAGTGATTTTCTTAATGGCATCTGGGAACTTGTCTGGTGCCTCTTGGTTACAGAAACTTTATCCTGTTGTCTTGACATTTTGAAAGCTAAACTTCTGTCTAAAATTATAAACCATCCTTTGCTGGTATTGAAGTCTCCAGTTTAGCTTCTTTGCCTTAAGTTGTCATTTAATTACTTCACTTTTTCTCGAATCATATTAGATTCTGTAGGTATGTGTTTCTTACAGTAATGCTGTATCACATAAAAGCTGCATTTTCAATATGAGATAAGGTATTTCGTAAAAAGTGTAATGTTGCATCTGCTGGTGGAGCTGCAGCAACAGCTTCATGAATTTCCTTTTCTATTTTTACAATGGTACTTATGTTGGATTCACTTATCTTGAAATGGTGGGCAACCACAGCTGCAGACCTCAATCTATGGTACATAGTTATATAGTTATCCTTTAATACTGCATCTTTAGGTTGGTTTATGTTTCTCTTAACTGAGAATGGTGCTGTGTACAGTCTGTGTTTGTGTAAGATTGGATAACTTTTAACTTTTTATAATAGATGTGTCTATTTATGGTAGTAAATGATAAAGTAGGCAAGTATCAACATAGGTCTTATGCATCCATGACATACCTAGCTTTTTCTTAATTTTTTCGATATTTATGGGCTACATGGTTTGTCTGTGAATTTTTTTCAAATTCTTAACCAATCTCCAAAAAATTTTCCGATGTATTTATTGAAAATATATCTACCTGTAAGTGGACCCACGCAGTTTAAACCTGTGTTGTTCAAGGGTCAGCTGTGTATTACTTATATTTCCCTTAGAATGTGAGCTTCTTGAGGGCAGGAGTTTTTGTCTCTCTTGTTCACTGTTGTATCTATACTAGAAAATGCCTGGCACAAAGGAGGTGTTCAGTAAATAACTGAACTGTGTGAATGAATGTGTCATTCTTACCTACTAACATATATAATTTTCTTTAAATTGTATTGTGATAACATAATCCTAGTAATTATGTAAGCCTGAAACAGTAAAGTTCATGTCTTTGAAATATTTTCATAAATAAGAATTTTAATTAAAACTGACCTTCCAGTAGTTTGTTTTTTTTTATTAGTTCTACCCAGATTTGTTCTTTTATTATGCCTTAACATGATTCCTGACATTTTATATTTTCTTTGTCTAGCTATTCTGTTTGAATGTGTACATACAGTCTATTCTATTTATCCTAAATCAGAATTACTTGAGAAGGCTGCCAAGTGCATTGGAAAATTTGTTCTCTCACCTAAAATAAATCTCAAATATTTAGGTAAGATGATTGGTTCTTTAGAACAAGAGACCTTTTGAAATTTGCTGGGTATTTCTTTCAAGTTACTTTTATAATCTTTACTTCTAGGACTGAAGGCTCTTACCTATGTTATCCAACAGGATCCCACTTTGGCTCTTCAACACCAGATGACAATAATTGAATGCTTAGACCATCCTGATCCCATTATTAAAAGAGAGGTAAACTGGTACTTTTAATAGTGTACATGAGGTGTTACAAATTTTAAACATTTTGTTGGTATCATGGAGAGAAAATGGTGGGCAGTATGTATGTGGGTGTGTGTACACACACATGTATTTTATCTTTTGAGTGCATTTTATTCTCTCTACTAAGCTTTAAGGAACTCATCTAAAAAGTACTTGTGTCAGCATCCATAGGAATGGTTTTAAATCATGAGTTGGAGGAGTTAGGTTTAATTATCTGTATGTATTCATCAGTATCTTTTTGGTCCAAGAACTGTACCAATAGGAGACCTGAATTTTATTCCCAGGTCCTCCTATTAGTATAATTTTAAAATGTAAATTTCGATCAGTATTTTTTCATTGTTCTTGTTAACATCTCTAAAATGGGCTAATGCAGTCACTATTAAATATGTAGAAATATTGAAAGAATTAGTAAAGATATCCCTAAAATAATTTGAGCTTCTTGGACGTAAAGGTGTTTAGTTCATTTAATTTTTGCAACTTTTTCCTTCTGTTAAATTGCTTCAGTGTCAACATAATATTTCTTTTCATTCTTATATAGAGAAATCACTCCTATTACCATCATTTAAAATGGCATATGGGACCCAGTTAAGAAGAGTGGATAGTTTTATTTCTGATTTTAAAAGTAATAAAGATACAAAGAATCTAGTAAACATCTAAATTACTTAAAGGCAGTTTATTGAAAGAACACTGTATTGTATTAAACTATTATAATTTTTAAAAGATAATACATTTTGAATTTTGAAAGGTACTTTTTGAACCATTTTTGAGAAGTTGCCATCTGCATATATATATATATATATATATAT